GTTCATACCGATATCCACCCGCACCCATACTCGCCCATTCCGAGGTTAGCCGGCCAGGCTACCATTTCCAATGTCCACATCGTAGCCATCCCTTTCCTGCCCACCCTTCTTCTTCTTCTTCTTCTTCTTCTTCTTCTTTCTGCTTTATTCCTTAGTGCAAGGGTATAAACCCTCAGCATCCCAGGAAAAGACCCGGCGGACCCAGGTAGGGTCCTGTCGCTGAAGGGCCCAGGGAAACAAAGCTGTTGGTCCTGAGGCATGGGGTCGGGCCTCCTCCCGGAAGGCTCCAGACTTTGACTACCAGGGTGCAGGTGGGGCTGGACGGTCTGTTCAGCCAGCATAAAGGGAAGGGAAGTTGAAGAGTCAAGGATTCGGGCGAGCAGATTGAGGCAACCACACTGCTGGATAGTCAATGCACTCAGAATCCGATGAGGAAGCTGAGAAGGAAGAGAGCGGGCACCATTCATAGCCGGGCTGCGCGCAGCATAGCCGAACAGCAGGAAGTGCCCTTGGCACAGGGAAGAGAGAGGGAAGACAGTGGTACCGGCACATACCTGGCGTTGACGGAGACGCACTGTTTTTCCAGGGTCTTCAAGCGGCACCGAGCCATTGGCATGTGGACCGGTTGCGGGCGCATGTAGATAGGCTAGATTTGTAGGAGCCAGGAATTTAGATGGGCATACACGACGCCAGTAGGGAGTTTGCATCGTCCTTGTGTTCATGATTGAAGGTGTTGGAAGCAGAGTTGCACAGTCCCGCAATTGGCGCCCTTGATTGGTCGGCTACCGACCGGCCCACAAGTCGGCTGGTCGGCACCTGCCGGTTGGTGGTGGCCAACACCCCGCAAAAAGAAAAAAAAAAATTGGAGCATGGCTGTGCCAGCAAACCGCCGGTTGGACCCCCGGTGGTCCAACGGAAATTACGGTTGGGCCCAAAAGTGGGTCAAAAAATAAAATAATGTTCTTTTGAAAACATGGTTGGACTGCGCTCACCAAGATCTCCCTGAACAGAGAAGTTTCTTTTGGTGGAGAGGGGGGGGGGCTGTCTCTTATACACATCTAGATGTGTATAAGAGACAGGTCCTTGAGACTGCCTGTCTTTGCACCAGTTACCTTTTACAGCCTCAGCTTACTCCCGTATACCCTTCGCATCTGGTGTTTTCTGCAGTCGCCCTTTCGATATGTGTGTCACAAGATGCCACATACCTACTTGATGACAGCTATGGTGCATTCCCAAGACTCACCAGAGTGGAGAGAAACGATGAAGCAGAAGTCTCAAATCATCCAATCCGAGTCATGGAAAACAGAACTCTGGCAACGCACTCATCACCAGTAATTGAGACACCAAGCAGGGCGGAAAGTAACCCAAGTGCTTCCCAACCCAATGTCAAAGTCTGAACACGGAGATACCAAGTCAGTTGATTGTGTGGTCGGTCGGGACCGGCAGACGGGCAGGCAGGCGGGAGTCAGTCACTAGGTGGTTCGATCGGTGGGTTGGTGGGCTGCAAACAGACAAGGTGGACCAAAGCGTCAAACAGTATCCTCTGAGGTCCAAACAGATCAAACTTGTGGCTGTTCAGACCACATAAATAAACAGGTATCACACAAACTGGCACAGGACAAACCGGACTGACAGCAATAAAATATGCAGCAAAGTTGAGCAACCAAAACAACAAATAAGACCAACAGACAAAATATCCACACCCCTGTCTGACTCTCAATCACCCAGGGCCCTCATGACGTGCCAAGGCCGTCTTGGTTAGTCATAGCCCCAAAAAGGGTCAGACGAACAAGGAATCTGCCCTAACAGATGTCCGGGCCTCCCAGGCCGGGTGTTGGGAGACCGCCCGCATGCCCCATCATCCCCTCATCCTGAGCACCCTCCATTGGTGGCCTCTACAGTCCTGCTTTCTCTTTGCCCTTTGTGTGTGTGAAGGTCGACTCTCTACCCTCTCCCCACAACCGCTCTGCAGCGGCCTTCAACCTGCCAGGCCTCGAACCTGTGAACCAGAAACAGATGCATTCAAACAAGCCCAGATGTGGATGGATAACCTCGTCATATGCAGTCAAACCTGACAGCCACCATGCTGGAGAACTACCGTCTTCACCCGAATAGAACGCCCGGTCATTACCGCTGCACCTGGACTGAAAAATGCCCCAAATACAGCTATAATGACAGGGCGTTATATTCGGGTGAAGACGGTAGTTATTTGGAAAGCCGTTTTTGCAGCTCGCTGTTATGGACGCAGGAGTTAACAGTAGCAGATGTGAGGGGAAAATGCACACTCCCAAGAAAATGTTTGTGACTCGTAAATCCACATAAAAGAGAACGTTCATCACTCACATCCTTTGCCTCATCTTCCATAGCTGCAGCCTTCTTTTCACATTGCAGGAGCACGTCTTGTGCCTTGGGAATTTCCACTCTCCTCAGCATCTCGTACTCCTTATACTGAAGTTCCAAGTGCCTTAACTTCTCGAGCTTTGCCTCCAAGACGCTAGTTTCAAACGTCATCCTCCTCTCTGATGCTTCTGACTCCACATGCGCATTTCGTTGCTGCACCCATGTAAGCAAAATGGACAGCATGCAGGCAAGCACTGTGATATGACAGGGAGAACAGCTAAAAACGATGCAAGCACTACATAACCATAAATAGTGCTAAGAAGGGCTAACCGCAAAGAGCCACAAATCTAACAGCGAAGAAAAGAGCAAGAACATACTCTTAGGCAGAACAGAACACTAACACGTTGGTTATTTACTCTCACTATACAAAAAGAACCATACACCTCGGTAGCCTGCAAAGGCTCGACATTCAACAAGAGCTAGATGACCTGTTGCAGCTTTGCCCACAAAAAAGAAAAGTGAAAATCAGAAAAACCCTAGGCTGGTCCCCAGGCCGCCCAGCGGCCTGGTCGTCGCGCAAGGGGGGGGGGCTCTGGCCGGCTGTCCCACCCGGGTGGCAGCCCAGCGCATCACAGAAGGGTGGGGTGCAGTTCGGCCGATTTCAACGCGGGGGGCCTTGCCCCCACAGGAGGCCGTCCAGGCCAATGAAAAAAAAAACAAAAAAGGGGCCGGTAGGCCCGATTTCAGCATTTCGAAACGGGCCCAATCTGCGCCGTCAATCTCCAAGATCGGCGGCCCAAACGGGCCGCTATTTGAAAGCTGTGAGGGCGGGAACTACCGACCCTCGTTCCCTCCCCCACGCGAGTCACCCCCGTTACCCCGCCCAACGCCTCCCTTCGCGAACGTCGACCGCAACTCCGACGACCCCGCCAACGCCCGCCAATGCCCGCCAGCACCCGCCAGCGCCAAGGTAAGTGGGTTAGTTGCACAGAGAGAGAGAGAGAGAGAGAGAGAGAGTTCTTCTTCTTCTTCTTCTTCTTCTTCTTCTTCTTCTTCTTCTTCTTCTTCTTCTTCTTCTTCTTCTTCGTCTTCGTCGTCGTCGTCGTCGTCGTCGTTGTCACTTCTTCTTCTTCTTCTTCTTCTTCTTCTTCTTCTTCTTCTTCNTTCTTCTTCTTCGTCTTCGTCGTCGTCGTCGTCGTCGTCGTTGTCACTTCTTCTTCTTCTTCTTCTTCTTCTTCTTCTTCTTCTTCTTCTTCTTCTTCTTCTTCTTCGTCGTCGTCGTCGTCGTCGTCATCGTCGTCGTCGTCGTCGTCGTTGTCGTCACTTCTTCTTCTTCTTCTTCTTCTTCTTCGCTTCTTCTTCTTCTTCTTCTTCTTCTTCTTCTTCTTCTTCGCCCCCGTTTCATGCCCCCCCCTTCCCGCCATCCTCCACCAACCGTCTTCTTCTTCTTCTTCTTCTTCTTCTTCTTCTTCTTCTTCTTCTTCTTCTTCTCGTCTTCTTATTTCCACGCATCGTTTCTCACCCCCTGCCCGCCATCCTCCACCAACTGTCTACTTCTTCTTCTTCTTCCTCCTCTTCTTGTCTTCTTCTTCTCGCCTGCCGTTTCATACCCCCCTGCCGCCGATCTTCCACCACCCTTCGTCTTCATCTTGTCCTCTTCGTCTTCTTCTTCTTCTTGCCCGCTGTTTCATACCCCCTGTAAAACCCCAAGCCCTCCCACATCTCTGTCCCAAGTTCCCGACAGAGGCAATATCCACATACGTCTTGTCAAATGGATCTAATATAAAGAGAGAACTAAGGAGACCACACATACACTGTCTCTCTCTCTCATCCACACACACGCCAAGTTTTGAAAATCATCTCATTTTCTGCCTAATATTGCAGGTGTATGCTATATGTCACTTTCTAGGTGCCTGGATCTGACAATGCCACACATAGACTCTCTCTCTCGCTCTCGGTCCCTCACACATGCAAGGAAAAATGAGCAAAGCGAGATGACAGAATCCAGAAAGCACAATCACATTCAAAGCCAAATAGTCTCACCGTGTCCAGAGAGCAGCGTTACACCAATAATACACCAATTGTGACGGGGCTGAGGCAACGAGGCTGGGAGAGAGAGGGAGAGAGTGAGAGCACACACACACACTCACTCAACTCGACGCAGACTCGACACGACTCGACGGACGCAGACACGAAGTGGCAAAGTCACAAAGTCGACGTCTTGGATTTCCGAACACAATGTCGAAGCAAGTCACACCGAAGCACAAGTACAGCAGCAGAAAACTGGTACGAGACTGGTCCCCGTACCGTACAGGGAGCCGGTATAAGTACCGGTGACACGTACGGTACCAGGGGCATTTCTGCAAAGGCCCCGAGGGCAGAACTGAAAAATGCGGTATTTGAAAGTGGCGCCCGAATTGCAGCATGGCGCCAGTTGTCCAAAATCCTATGGTACCAAAGGAGGGGTTTGGAAAAAGGGTGCCAGGCCGAAAACAGGATGCAGCCGAAACAGCAAAAAGATAGACCAGGGATCGAGCCCTGGCAACGTCCGTAACACTATCCCCTCCCTCTAGATGGCAACGTCCCGGCTGCCAAAAATCATGAAGCAATGCTGAAATCTGTGAAGGACGGGACGGGGCTGATCACTGGTTAACAAGTCGAAAGGGAAGAGGGGTATAATGCGGGTGGCATGGGTTGCGGGAGTTGTCTTAGTGATGAACTAAGGGGACTGCATGGTTTGCTATAAGTTAAGGGGGAACAAAGGTCAGGGAACAGGGAACTTCTATTCATGTTCTACTGGGTAAGGGAAACAGTGTTCAGGAAAACAGGGTATTTCTATTGATGTTCTAGTGGGTAAGGGAAACAATGGTCAGGGGGAACAGGGAATGTCTATTGATGTTCTAGTGGGTAAGGGAAACAATGGTCAGGGGGGAAAGGGAATGTCTATTGATGTTCTAGTGGGTAAGGGAAACAATGGTCAGGGGGAACAGGGAATGTCTATTGATGTTCTAGTGGGTACGAGGAACAATGGTTAGGGAAGCAGGGATCTGCTAATGATGTTCTACAGGGTTGTCAAAGTCAGGAAAAATAAAAATGAAAATGTTTGTTCAGGATGCAAGGGCTGGTGTGTCCGAAGGAGTCGGAAGCACAATCTCAGGTAGGAACAAGGTGTCCAAGTGTCTTGAAAGGGGGTCTGCAGCAGTCTTGATCAGGTCTTTGGAGTAGGTGGTAGAAGCGGTCTTCACCGGCTGCGACAGGTAGAAGTCCAAGAAGCGTGTAGTAGTTCAAGTGTCAAAATCCAAGTGCTAGGGTGCGTCCGGTACACGAACCTCAATGAGGTCTGATCAGGTAGCAAGGAAGTCGCAGACTGATGCAAAGATCCATGTCACAAGTTGCTGCTCCAGTAAGTCCGCGAGTCGGGATGCCGGCCGATGAAACAGCATGGTGGCCAAACCAGCTGCATAATCTCCATGAACAGTGAGGCAACAGGCCATCATCCTCGTGCGCTTGCCATTAGATCCTTTATCGCCGGCGTCACGCAGGTCCACAAGCATTGGACAAGAGAGACAAAGTAGTGGAGAGGACAGATGGGACAAGGCTAGGCGAAGGTAAGGGCAGATCAGACATCAGGAATCAGGGTCAAGGGAGGGGTGGCCGGGTTCAAGGGTGTGTGTAGAGCAGGGTTGCGAGGGTTTAGCAAGGGTTTATGCCATAGTTGTATCTAGGACATAGGATTAGCACGATCATAGGCGCAGACAAGTTTCATGGCGTTCTTAAGATTAGAGAGAGGTTCCCATGTAGATTCTTCGTCGCGGTATCCGGTCCATTTGACTTTGTATTCAGTGATTGGTTCCGGATGGTCAGATACCTGAGTAGTTCGTCAGCCAATGATGGTTTCGAAAACGAATTCAGGGCCTGTGGGTAGCATGATTGGTGGAGGTCTAGGATATGGGCGGTCGGCGAACTGGGGCGGGTATTCATGGTATTCTTTTAGGTACTCGACATGGAAGACTGGGTGGACACGACTCATGTCAGGGGGAAGTTGGAGAGTTTCTTGGACATGCCGTGTTCGGGTTGAAAGCGTTTGGTGGAGAGCCAGACTTTGTCCCCTACTTTGAATGACACGTTGCGTCTATGTTTGTTAGTCTTGTTGGGTTGTTGTTCTTGGGTTCGTTCAATGGCTTCGGAGGCTTCTCTCAGGAGTCTGTTCATTGTTGCTACCCATTCATTGAGAGAGGGGCAGGGGGTGGATGGGTTAAGCTGCGAAGGAAGCAAGAAGTCAGAGGGCAAGCGAAGGTGGTAGCCAAGATCGAGGTAGAATGGAGACATGCCGGTGGAAGGGCAGACGGCGTTGTTGTAGGCAATCTCGGCGGATTTGAGCAACTGATCCCAATCGTGTTAATGAGGATGACAATACTTCTGCAGGATTCTTTGGAGAGTATCATTCATGTTCTCTGTTCGTCCATCGGTCTGTGGATGGAATGCAGTGCTATACTTGAGCGTGGTTCCGTAGGCTATGAAAAGGTGTTTTCAGAATTGTGAGAGAAAGTGAGGATCACGGTCACTGATGATGTTCTCAGGGAGGCCGTCATGGCGAGCAACATGGTCGAAGAAGAGTGTGGCGACGTCTTTGGCACTGTGCGAGGTCATGCAAGGGATGAAGTGGGCACGTTTGGTCAAGCGGCAGACAATGATGTAGATGCAATCATGCCCTCGGTCGGTCTTGGGAATGCCGCACACGAAGTCCATGGAGATGGACTGCCACCGGTGAGTTGGGATGGGCAATGATTGGAGCTTGCCGGGTTTTGCCCGGTTCGAGGGGTTGACAACTTGACACGTGGGGCATGAGCGAATGTATGCTTTGACGTCGGCGAGCAGGGAAGACCACTAGAAGTAGCGGGAGATGGTGTCGAAGGTTTTTTGGAAACCGAGGTGTCCTGCGGTCTTGGCGTCATGGTGCTCGGCCAAGAGTTGAGTACAAAGACCACGTGCGTCAGCGATGCAAAGTCGGCGAGTGTCTTTGGTATCGATGTAGAGAAGGTTGTCGTGAAGCGAGTAGTCGGGGACTGGGTCAAGGTCGCGGAGCTTGTTGTAGATGGTGGCGAAGTCTAGGCAAGACAGGTAGCCTTGGGTGTATCGGTGATGGAGTGATGGGAGGAGTTGGATATGCATCATGGTGGCGTAGACTTTCTCGGGGGGGCTTGTGGTCGGGT